GTGATCCATCTGCCTCGACCTGCCAAAGTGCTGGGGTTACAGGCATGGGCCACTGCATCCAGCCAATATCTGTATAGAAAAGAACATATGCCTTCTTTTTATTCATTCATTTCATTCATGTATGACCTTGACACATGTGTTTTTTGTTTTTTTTTTTTAGACGGAGTCTCGCTTCCTTGCCAGACTAGAGTGCAGTGGTGCCATCTTGGTTCACTGCAACCTCTGACTTCCTGGTTCAAATGATTCTCCTGCCTCAGCCTCCCCGGTAGCTGGGATTACAGGCATGCACCACCACACCCAACTAATTTTTGTATTTGTAGTAGAGACAGGGTTATACCATGTTGCCCAGCATAGTCTCAATCTCCTGACATCGTGATCCACCTGCCTTGGCCTCCCAAAGTGCTGGGATTACAGGTGTGAGCCACCACGCCCGGCCAACACGTGTGTATTTTTAAATTGTGAGTTCAAATAGATATTTGAAGTAAAATCTAGTATTACAGAGTTTTCACATTTTCTTTGATGTGATATTTTTGCATCTCCTTTCTCTTACTCTGAAAATCTTGGTTCTTAATAGTAATTATTAATTCTTTGCAGATCTTTTTGCCCTTAGAATATATCCCTCTAAGGAGGCACAATCAGAATACTGTTTTCAAAAATCTCTTGAAATAATTATTTTCTCTATATAGTTATGCTACCAATTACATATTTAGTTGAGTTTATTTTTTTCATTTATTTTTGATTTTCAGGTTTGTCTTTTTCTATTTTAATTTTTGAATATGTAAAACATTTATATGGTTCAAAAGTGAAAAAAAATATATAAAAAGGTATACTCAGAGGGGACCCTTTTTCATTCCTTTCCACCTCATCCTCCATCCCACTTAGGTAGGAATTAATGTTAGCTTTTTATTTATCCTTCCAGTGTTTCTTTTTGAAAAAAAATAGTTTTAATATTCTGCTCCTTTTATATTTAACAATGTATCCGGAAAATTGTGTCAAATCAGTACACAGGAAATGTTCTCATTATTTTTAAACAGCTGCATAGTACCCCATAGTGCTACACTGTGTGGATGAACTGGATTAAATTAGCCACTTATAGAAGTATGTGTATATAAGCACCTTGTTAGACAATCACAGGGTTCTCTCTGGCATCTGGTAGTTCTTGTTTTCTAGGGTGGCTGCAACAGATTACCAAAAATTGGGTGGCTTAAAAACAACAGAAATTTATTTTCTCACAGTTCTGGAATCCTGAAGTCTGAAATCAAGGTGTTGGGCTTCCTCTGGAAGACTCCGGGGGGAATCCTTTCTTGCCTTTTTCAGTTTCTCTTGGCTATAGGGGTCTTTTTGTTTGTGGATCCATAACCTCAATCTCTACCTTGGTCTTCATGTGGCCTTCTCCTTTGTTTCTATGTTTTCACTTCTTTTGTTTCTTATAAGGACATTTGTCATTGGGTTTAGGGTCTACCCAGGTAACCGAGGATCTTATTATATCTGCAAAGATCCTTTTACCAATTAAAGTCTCAGTCACAGTTTTCAGGAATTAGGATATAGACATATCTTTTTTGGGGGAAGGGTGGGCACTGTTCCGCCCACTACATTGGCTATTGTAAATAGTACTGAAAGGAATACACTTCCACGCATGGTTTTATATTTATTTCTCCATAGAGTTATGCTACCAATTACATATATTGTTAGGTTTATTTTTTCCGTTTATTTTTTATTTTCAGGCTTGTCTTTTTCTGTGTCAATTTTTGAATATGTAAAACATTTATATGGCTCAAAAGTGAAAAAAATATAAAAAGGTATACTCAGAGAGGATACTGAGTCCTTTCCACCTCTTCCTCCATCCCACTTAGGTAGGCATTAATGTTAGGGTTTTTTTTTTTAATCCTTCCAGTGTTATATATTATAATATCTGCAGGGTAGATTCTTAGAAGTCAAAATTCTGGCTGGGTATGGTGGTTCACACTTGTAATCCCAGCATTTTGGGAGGCTGAGGCCCGTGGATCACTTGAGGTCAGGCGTTCAAGAACAGCCTGGCCAACATGGTGAAACCCTGTCTCTACTAAAAGTACAAAAATTAGCCAGGCATGGTGGCGCGTGCCTGCAATCCCAGCTACTCAGGAGGCTGAGGCAGGAGAATCGCTTGAACCTGGGAGGCAGAAGTTGCAGAGAGCTAAAATCACACCACTGCACTCCAGCCTGGGGGACAGAGCAAGACTGTCAAAAGGAAAAGGAAAAAAAAAAAAAAAAAAAACCTTGGGAGGCCAAAGCCTACGGATCACCTGAGGTCAGGTGTTCAAGACCAGCCTGGCCAATATGACAAAACCCCGTCTCCACTAAAAATACAAAAAAAATTAGCCAGTTGTGTTTGTGCATGCCTGTAATCCCAGTTACTTGGGAGACCGAGGCAGGAGAATTGCTTGAACCTGGCGAGATAGCGCCACTGCACTCCAGCCTGGGCGACAGAGCCAGACTTCATCTCAAAAAAACAAACAAACAAACAAAAAAAACAAATTGAAATTCTGGGTCAAAAGGCAAATATTTATTTTTGCCAAATTTCCTTCCACAGGAGTTGTAGCATCTAACATTTCTACCAGCTATGTTTTCTATAGCTTTACCAGCAGACCAGAGTGTGTTATCACACCTTGTCTCTGTGGATGTTTTTTGTTTGTTTGTTTGTTCTAATTCAAATGGTATTTCAGAGCAGTTTTAATTTGCATTACAAGTTTTGAACTTTTGATCTCATTATTCTTATTTGCTGATTACTGTAGGACATTTATTCAACAACACTTAATGTCTGCATAACACTTGGCACTCTATAACTCCAGGGATAAAGAATTCAGTACAAAGCAAGTGAAGCCCTCAAAGGGTTCACAGCCCAGCAGGAATGAATTTAGAAAGAACAACAGAAAGTAAGAAGAGCCATATGGTATGTGCATGTGGATGAAAAAGTACCAAGATAATAATACTATATGTTTCTTCCTTTTTAAGAGAAGATTTGGAGTTCTACATTTTCATTACTGGGTAAAGGCTAGATATGATGGGTGAGATGAATCTATATGCACAGATGCCTGTTTCTGGCATTACCAAGCTGGACAGTATCACATGTTCACTGTACACTGTCATTTATTCCCACAGGTATCTAATCACTCAGCCTCCTCAACTGGATTGGAAGCATTGGAGGTCAGGAAGATGCACCTTATACATCTTTTATCTCCAAGGTTTAGAATTATGCCTTACACATTGGAGGTGCTGAATAAACGTTTGATGATGATGGCAGCTTGCTTTGCAATAAAAAAAAAAAAATAGAATTTCCTAAGACAAGCATATTCTATTTTTTCAGTCAGTGTAAGGAAAGGTATCTTCTCCTAATGGAATTGGGCAATGAACACTGTGATTTGCTATGCATAATCAGATACAAGCTCAACTGCTGTAACAAAGATTCTCAAAATGTCTTGACTTAAGACAAGACATTATTTTGCTCTCTTATAGCACTTTTGGAGGTTTGTGGTCCTGATGTGTGTTGTCATCTGGGGACTCAGGCTGGTAGGGCCACTCTGCCATCATCTTGAATGTGGGGCTTTCATCTCTGGGTCTGAGAGTGATCCATGCTATTGGGTTTATCAGTAGCCTGTTCTTTTTATTGCTGAATGTGTTCATACAAAGGAATATTACATAAGTCTAAAAATAGAGAGAGGCTCTAAAACTGTGAGTTTGTTTTTTTTTTTTCTTTTTGCCTGCCTGGTTGAAATATGTAGGACTATTTTAGCTTTTTATTATATTTCATTTAATGAACTTTTATTGAGTGACCCTACAGGCCAAATACTGTGCTCAGGAATGGGGATACAAAGGTGTGTAAATCCTTGTCTCTTCCCTTAAGTTATAGTTCAGCTAGAGGAGGAAAAGACAGTTGTGTTGTCCCAATTTGGATGGAAACTACGTGATTCTACCTTAAGTACTTGCTGAAAAAGCTGAAAGGATGTCAAAACCTGCAGGATCCGGATGCCACTATACAATCCTACAGTGTAAGAAATCTCCTGACCATCTTCCAGCTCAAAGTCTTGCCCCAGGGAATAGGCGCCTGGCTTTAAAAAGTATACAGGCCTGAGTCAGATCCCTCAGGGTCTATTTCTGGTTCTGCTACTGGATCGCCATGTGGCTTGCACAACACAGAGAACACACCCTTCCTACAAACAGGCAAGATCCCAAGGAGCCCCCTGAGCGAGCGACCTCCATACCCCAAGTGAGGCTGGGTTCCAGGAACCAAGGGGCCGGCTGAACTCCTCACCGGGGCACGCTCTTCCTTAGAGCCAAAGCCACTCATCTTAGTGTGAAATTAGAGCTGCGATTTCGGCACGGTCAGAGGGGCTTCGACTCGTTCCCTGGTGTGAATCCAGAAGCTAAACCTAAAAATAGTTTGCATTTAAAAAGCCTTGACACTTTTCTCACTGAGATTTGTGTGTGTGTGTGTGTGTGTGTGTAGTTCACGTTGCACTAGAGGAAAATGGGGTGCGCGCGCAGGAGATAGAGTGACGCTACGGACGATCTAGGCTGCCGGGGCAGAGGGCGGGCAAGGGCCACCCTGCCCTTCTGCGACCCTGGAAAGGAGGTCGCAGCGCGTCGCCTGCTGGAGAACTTCATTTCCCAGGAGCAATTGCGGCCCGCGTCAGGGCGGGGCGACGTGCCCAATGCCAGCCCATTGACTCCCATCGTGCCGAAGGCCGCCAGCCTGACTGGAGGACTGTCTCGCGGTGCATCTCGGGATTTGTAGTACAACGTGTGCGTGAGAGGAACTCCTTTGTGATTCGAAGCGCCTCCTCCGCGCTCTGAGCGCGTCCCCTCTAAGTTTTGGCGCGGACGGGCTAGTGTCCCGCGAGGAGAGTTCGGGCTGTGTGCGCGTGCGTAGCGCCCGAGGGGCCGGGAGGCACCTCCCGCGGGGCGGGGCCTTCGGTCCCGCATCGACACCGCCTTCCTGCCCCGCCCCTCGCCGTGACCGGCCCGCCCCTCCTTCCTGGAGCCACAGCTGAGGCAGCGGCGGTGGCAGCAGCGGCGGCAGCAGCCGGGCTGGGGGCGGCGAGTGGCCCGCGCGACACGCGCCGGCCTCGACCCTATGCTTTGATTCGCGTGGCGCAGGCGCCTACTGCCCCGCCGGCGGGGCCCGGGCTTCCTGCCGCGGGATGTTCTCCCGAAGGAGCCACGGGGATGTGAAGAAGTCCACCCAGAAGGTGCTGGACCCGAAGAAGGACGTGCTGACCCGCCTGAAGCACCTGCGGGCGCTGCTGGGTGAGGCGCGCGCCGGGCGCGGGGGTCGGGGCACCGGGGTAGGGGCACCTGCTGGGAGGGCGCCCCTCTGGGCAGGGGTCGGTGGCTGGGAGGCGGGGGAGGGGGATAGGTGGGCGTCCGACCCCTTTCCCTGGATCTGGGCTTGGACCCCCGGGGCTTTGTTTCCGGAAAGCCGCAGCCTGGCCCTCGGGCGCTGCTCCAGTCGCCCTCGAGTTAAACTTAGCCCAGATTCTCGCCGGGCGCCTGCGCTCCCGGAGAACCTGGAGGCCGGGCACAGAGGTACCTGTCCCCTCTCCTCCCAGCAAGTGAACTGGATCCCAAGTGGTCATCACGCGCACACATTGAACTGTCACCTCCCCCTTTCATTTTTAAAATTTTATTTTTGAGTCTGAGACTCTAAGTAGACCGAGACCCCAAGTGAACCCAGCACAGACCTAATTGGGCTCTCATCTCTGTCATCCTCCTTTTAAATTTTATTTTTACTTTTGAGTGTGAGACCCCAAATAGACTGAGATTCCAAGTGATCCCAGCGCAGATTTATCATCTGTTTTCCCATGCTGCTTTTTAAATTTAATTTTTATTTTGGGTTTGGCTGCTTCAGTTTCTTTGTGTCGTTGGAGTGAAGGGGCCTTCTCTTCCTGCTTGGAGAGAGGGGTGGTTTTCTCCTTTATTATCAGCGTGACAGTGATGGTGTCTGCCACCTTCTGGTTTATGGCCTGCCGGGTGGAGGTTCTGAGGAGCTCAGGTGGGCTTGGAGTTGACCTGTAATGAAGCTCACCCCTGTGGGTGTGAGGTGTCCACAAGGCCTCCTGTCACCTGCTGCATGTGATCTGAAGCTGGTTCGCCTAGGCTATGTTTTGTTTTCTGTATTTTTTGCCTCCTAAGTCTTTTCTTTAGGATGAAAATACCTTTGCTGTCTCTAGACACACTTACTTGCCTGTGTATTTGGTGGCGAAGGAAAGAACACCTTATGTTTCTTCTAGGTGTCTTTTAGTCCTAAAATTCACCAAACTTGCCTAGTGCTAATGTGTCTGTCACTTGAAAGAATATTGCATAAAATGATTTAACATGTGAGGATTTTAAATAAAGATCTTATTCATGAGATCAGAGGTTGCTGATTATTTCTATTTATATTCTACCTCTGAGGGGGAAAAGAACCCAAGCCAAACCAAACCACACCTGATTTGGCCAAGTGAAGTAATTCACAGTCCCACATTCCTTGAGGTTACACTGACTTGTTCAGTTTGAAATGAAATGTAAATTAGTTACTGTTACAGGGATTCGTTTTCAAGACTTTTGAGAGTGAAGTGTGGTGTTCTTGATAAACTGAATTTTCTACTTCCTGTAGATACCATGCACTCACAGGTTGCACAATACACAGGTTGCATTGTGTGGAGTTCCTAGTAGTGACTGATTAACACCTACTGCAGGGACATTTTTGATAAAGGAGAGTTGAGCTGTGTTTTAAAGCACTTGATACTTCGAGCCTTTTTCTGTGCTTTAGCATTTACACTTTTGTTCTGTCCAGGTCTGCAAGATTAAGTTGGCTACATTTTATAAAGGCAGAATCAAGTAAACCTAGATCAGGTTATTTCTTAGCACACAGTACATTGTTCCTATTCTGAGAAAGTTGTTTCTTTTCAAGTTTGTGGAATTGTAGTTTCACTCTAAGGTGTAGTTTCTTATTTTAGGGAACTTTCTTTTATCATTTCATGAAACTCATCATGACCTCAGTTTTGTAACATGGAGAAGTTCTTTTATATTTCCTTAGGTGTATGATTTTTGTTGATATACTTACGGGAGGAGTGGCCCAGTTTGCTTTGTTTATTACTGTGATCTTTGTAGGGACTAGATTTTTGTAAAATGTGTCTGAGGAGTTCTAGTCATAATATTTAATGTAAACTTTCACTTGCTCCTGTGATTTATTCAAGACTTCAGAAATAGTACATTAATGCACTAGTTCCCACCTAATCCCAATATTCTATTTGGTTGCTACTCAAAAAAAAGTCTGCTTAGAAAACAAAGGCCTCTTGAACTAAAAGTTAGGAATTAAGCCAAGATCAAGGAAACTATTTGAAGGAAATGAATAGTAATTACTATTGTATTTTTGTGTGTGTATTTATATAACACTTTTGCTTTTCATATATTTTATCTTGAAGTGATAATAGTGATTTTTTTTTTTAAGTATACAAAGATTATGCCACTGACTTGGGTATTTGCAGCCTGTCCCTGCTGCCTGCAGCTTCATGACTCGAGCTAGTTACGTAGCCTGTCTTTGAACCTTGGTTTCTTTACTCTGTAAAATGGGCATGGTAATGTTTGCCTTTTCAAGGATGATTGTGAGTATGATGAATAAATGACTTCAGCTTGAAGCAGGCCTTTAACAGTTTCCTTTCCCAACATATCTCCCACCATTAATAGGATTGGACAAGTATTTTGATAGCTAATTTTTCTCGGTCTTTCTTATTTTTGATACTAGTGATGAATTTGTTCTCTTTCCTAAAAAGTAGTCTGTATTTAAAACAACCGGGTGAGAAACATAAAATTAGTTGTGGAAGTAGAGTATTTCTTAGTGTCATGGTAATAACTCCAATTTGGATGTAGATACTTTGGCTTGGCTATGTATTATAGACTGGTCTGGTATGATTAACTTTATTTTACAGAGGGGTAAACTGAGGCACAGGCCGGTTTGACACATGGTGTCAAGACATGGAGCAGATTTTACTTATGTTAGAGGAAGAACAAAGAGCAGTTAGGTCCTGTGACTTCCAGTTCTCCCTACACTGTTGACAAAACAAAAACCACAAGACCCTCTGTATTACTATATTGCTCCAGCAAAGATTCCCTGTCTTTTTTTTTTTTTTTTTTAACAGGGTCTTGCTCTGTTGTCCAGGCTGGGGTACAGTAGTTTGACCTTGGCTCAACTACTACAGCCTCGGCCTCCCTGGCTCAAGTAATCTCCCACCTCAGCCCCCGGAGTAGCTGGGACTACAGGCATGCACCACTACACTAGGCTCATTTTTTTTCTTTTTTTGAAATGGAGTCTCACTCTGTCACCCAGGCTGGAGTGCAGTGGTGCCATCTTGGCTCACTGCAACCTCCGCCTCCTGGGTTCAAGTGATTCTCATGCCTCAGCCTCCTGAGTAGCTGGGATTACAGGTGTGTACCACTGGGCCTGGCTAATTTTTATGTTTTTAGTAGAGAGAGGGTTTCACCGTGTTGGCCAGGCTGGTCTTGAACTCCTGGCTTCAGGTGATCTGCCCAACTCGGCCTCCCAAAGTGCTGGGATTACAGGTGTGAGCCGCCACGCCTGGCCAGATTTTTATATTTTTTGTAGAGACGGGGTTTTGCCATGTTGCTCAGGCTGGTCTTGAACTCATAGACTCAAACAATCCTCCCACTTCAGCCTCCCAAAGTGCTGGGCTTACAGGCATGAGCCACCATGCCTAGCCAGATAGTGTGTCTAATTAAAAGTTGAGTGTTTACGATGAGTCCCAAATTAGGATATAGAAATGGCATTGATATAGTGAGAAGAACAGATACAAAATAATAGTAAATTTATGGTGTGTTATGTAATTAGATGGTCGGGTATATGGTAGAATCCATTATAGGATTTCAGAGAACAAAAGAGATAATTAAGAATGTCACAAAAATAAGGGCATCTTTAAGGAGGTTTGTAGTCATCTGTTCTCACGCTGCTAATAAAGACATACCCGAGACTGGGTAATTTATAAAGGAAAAAGGTTTAACTGACTCACAGTTGCATATGCCTCAGGAGGCCTCACAATCATGGCAGAAGGTGAATGAGAAGCAAAGTCATGTCTTCCTTGGTGGCAGGCAAGAGAGCTTGTGCAGGGGAGCTCCCGTTTATAAAACCATCAGATCTTGTGAGATTTATTCACTACCCTGAGAACAGCATGGGGAAAGCCACCCTCATGACTGAGTTATCTCCAGCCGGCCCAGCCCTCGACATATGGGGATTATTACAATTCCAGGTGAGATTTGGATGAGGACACAGCCAAATCATATCAACGTTTTACTCATGCTGGGCTCCAAAGAATGGTTAGACTAGTTCTGTCCAATAGAAATATAATGTGAGCCATATGTGCAATTTTAATCTTTTTTAGTGACCACATGTTAAAAAGTAAAAAGAATCAGATGAAATTAATTTTAATGGTGCATTTTATTTAAGTCCATGTTTCTAACATGTATTATATCTGCAGGTAATCAATATAAAATGCTATCAGTATTTTTTACATCTTTTTTTCATACGAAGTTTTTGGAATTCATTGTATATTGTATATTTACAGCACATATCGGTTCACACTAGCTGTGTTTCAGGTGCCCATTAGTCATATGTCACTAGTGGCTGCACACTGGACAAAGCAAGGTTAGAATTTGGGAAAGTAGAGGGGAGGGGCAATTCCCACCAAGGGAAGATGGAAGGGCTGGTGGCGGAAGTAATGTGGCAGTGATATAGGAGGGTAAGGAAACCAGCCTGACTTTCACTGCGTCCAGTGGGGCAGTAGCGAGGTGTGGTGTTGGGCACTGAGGACCTTTGCCCAGAGGATGTCCACAGTGTCCTGCATAGGCCAGGGGTAGAGTAGGGTCCTAGGGAATGAGTGGAACAGTAGCCTGACAAGCAGAAGCTGAGGCTGGCTGGGGGATCATAAGCCAGACTCAGGTCAAATTGTGACCTAGGTTTGGACCAGAGTAGAGAACTGTCTCTCACAAATGCTGTATATACAAACAGAGCAAAACACAGCATTGCCATATAGTTCGTTTTATGCATATGTCGCTCTAGGTAGGAACAAATTGACATACAGTTTTAAATGTCTTTTATTTTATCATTAGCATTTTTCATGTTTTGTTCCTCTCATTTTTAAGTACAACTGTTTGTTAAGACCGTGTCCCATAATTTAGCCCACGATTTCCTGGATTGTTAAATTGTGTTCTTTTCTCTCCTTCCTTCTTTCCTTTTTTTCTTCCTTCCCTTTTCC